AGGAGTAAAGTGCATGTAGGTCATGCCACCTAAGATGACCTGTCTGCCACTCTCTGTCTCTCAGCCTTTATTATACTTAATTAATCCACCATGAACTGTGCACACTGTGTGCCCTACTGCTCATGTGCTCTTTGTAGCTTCTGCCATGCTGCTGTTCAGGGAAGAGCATTTCAAGCCCTGGCATCACTTGTATGCTTCAGCCCTACATTTCAGTCATGAATGTCTCTTCCAGTCAAAACCAAACTGCTGGAGTTTCTGGTTTAGGGTGAAACAATGCACACCTATGTCCAGGTGCAGCCGAAACAATGTTAGAGGGCAACATTTGAGTTGTATTGCATTCCCCTTTCTTGGTTAATCAGCTGCTTTCTGGAGTAATGCTCCAAAGACAGAAGTGATGTGTAAGTGCTGTTACCAAATGGTAAGTGGGTGTAAAGGAGGCTAAGATTGTATAATTTACACTCAGGGAGAGGCTGGCAGAAGGTAAGGCAGAGTGTGATAGGGCTGGAAGGATAGACGATTAATTCTAAAGGGAGACTTGATCTGGTTCATCCAAAGGTTACTGTGCTTCCCCGAATCCAGGCCTCCTGCTCCCTACCAGTTCGTCATCCTTCCTAGTCTCCCTGTAGGGTCCCAAAACTCCTAGATGGTGGATCTAAATTTGGTGTCTTCATGACCCTCCTAGCCCAGGTCCTGACTTTGTGCATTCATGAAGCCTGCCTTAATACCCTAGCAGAGGAGCTTGTTATCCTCCTGGTTTTTTTTTTCTAGCTACATATCACTCCTCCATCCCCTCTTTGTGTTAGTTATACCAGCTAAGGTGCCCTTAAAACTACTTACTGGAATGCATGAAGTTGTGTGCCAAATTCAGAAGAAAATACTGTAACAGTACAGCACCTTTATTATATTCCTGTGGAGGTCCCTAAATAGCTGGTATCCCGAAATAGCTATTCCGTGTCTTGGCAGCGTGTCTTGACAGCGTGCCTGTTATTTCAAAATATCTTTCGTAATAATGGGCGCACTGTTCTGACATCCTGGTAAACCTCGTTCCACAAGGATTAAGGGACATTTCGGAATAGTGGTTTATTTCAAAATTTGTGCTGTGCATACCGCGCCAAATTACAAAATAAGTTGTTTTGAAATACACTCAAAATAAGCTACACAATTTGCGTAGTGCAAATTGTGTAGCTTATTTTGAGCTAAGGGTGCTGTGTAGATGCACACACAGGGAGGGGAAGATTTGTTTAAATGCAGGATGTCACCAAGTCTCTTCAAAGCCCCTCCTTACAACTAGGAGAAAATAAGTTTGTACAATGCCTATCACATTGGGGGCTTTTCCTAACGACAGTCTGAGAGCAGCTGCAGTACAAATAACTGAATTGAGATATTTAAAAATCTGTGCCTTAGTATTGCAGATTCTTTGCTAAACTTCGCTTGTTTTCAGCTGCTTGTTCTCTGCAACTCTAGTAGGTGGAGTTTAAGGGGCTCATTCTGTCTCCACTTTAAAAGTACATCTGACAGCACATACATGGGTATTTGCCATGAGATGATAAATTCAGTCTAGTGACTCTTTTGTCCTGCAAAAAATCAAGGAAATCTGATTGAAGTACAGATTTGCTTTCAACTTTCCTTTCCTTTTTGACTTTGTCCGTGACCTACATATTGGATCCTGCGGTGCCAGTTGGAAATAATTGAGATTGTAGTGTAGGTTATTTACCACACTGTTCCTTTGAAAATACTCTTACTGTGCCCAGTCCACACCCACTCTGACATAATTCTAGGGTGGGCGACAAAGCTCCATTAACCCTTTTTTGGCCAACAGGCTTGTGTAGCATATTAGGTGTAATTAAAGGATGGGATAGGGAAGCAAGGGTCTTGCCTTTACAAATGCCAGTAAGAATTTTAAGTGTGCTCTGCATCACAATGAGTGTGTCTATTTTTGAGCTCCATGGATGATAATAGCCAGTTGCAGATGTTCACATCCAAATACATACTATTTAGAAACCTGCTTTTGCAAAAAGAGCCATGGGGCTCTTGTTGGTTAGAGGCTAACTATATTGGATCAAAGGCTGCTTTGGAAGGATTGTCCTTTTCTTTATCTCAGAGGTTTTCCTTGGTTTAAAGATAAATACTAAAGAGCCAGCTAGTCAACGGCAGAGAGAACTTACTTTCATGTAATTAATCATGATCAGTCTAGTTTGGAGATTGATTGTAGGAGAAAGCAAGCAATCTTCACAGTTTTTGGCTTGTTTCCCTTTGAATAGAACAGGGACTCAAGTCTGGAACTGCAACACTTTTGTCTCCCCAGATCCATATCCCCCTTAATCTGACAGGTTTTCTAAACATACCATACACTTTCAAAAGTAGATCCTGTTTGAAAGCCATCCAGGTGTGGAATGAGGGAAGAATCTTCAAGAAGATTACAGCAGCTATGCTGCAACTCATTAACTCAATCTCTTCCCCTTCTCCCCATCTCCACCCCATGCCTGGGGTCTTTTAGTGCTAGTACTAAGTGCTGTTCACTTAATCTAGCCCACCTGGACAGTTATATGAAGAATGGAATTGCCTTCCGGCGGAGGACTGAAGGAACATTCACACAGCTTCTGCAGAGGAGTCTGCTTTTGGGAAATACTAATCCTGTTTTAACATTATGACAGCAGCTCGTTAAAAGCTGTTTTGAAATGTGCAGCTAAAGCAGTGGTTTTGCACGCACACACAGCTGAGAATACTGGTGAACCATGTGTGTTTCATTTTCATTTTAAATTGCACAAATTGAACATGGAAAGAATTTGCAGGCATAAACTTGCTGTGGTATGCAATTTACAAGTTTCAGAGCAACATACAGTTTCCAGTTTAAAAAAAAAAAACACAGATCACAACATTCAAAGGCGTATTTGGGCTTTTTTTCCCTGCAGCTCATGTTCAAAGCCCTTCAAAAATATTTACATAAATCCAGCTTCTTGGAAGGCTTATTTAATGTGTATTTTTCCAATATTCCGAGGCAAATTATGTGTAAACTTGGTTAGTCCTGCTTTTTAAACTATGTATAAATACTGTTTGTCATTTGTATGGTATTACAGTAGCATCCAGAGACCTCAACTGAGATTGGGGTTTTGCTATGCTGGATGCTGTACAAACACAGAAATAGGAGATGCTTTTCTTTGCTGAGAAGAACTTACAATCTAAGGCACCAGTTTTACAAAGAGAGCTGTGTGAGTGGACCCCAACATGGAGCCCCAGTGAAGTTGGGGTGAGGGGGCATACTTGCACGATTTTTCTGCAGCAGGAGTGTTGGCCTTAGTTGGTTACTTACTGAAGAGCTGAGGAGGAGAGAGAATATCCAATACGTTTGCTACATCCTAGTGCCGAAATTATATAAATACCAACTTTACCCAGATGTCTTTCAACTAACCATTATTTGTTGGCTAATTTCTTGCAAGCATTGCTGCAGAACTGGGTCATGAGATAGGAACTGGAGCAAAGAATGGTAGGTTTATGGATCTGTTAGGAGGATGTTTCTATGCACAAGGGTTGGCATGGAAGGAAGCACAAATGTGTCGGTGGGAGGTGCTTCTTGGATCCATCACCCAGAGTGAAATGCCAGCCTCTTGAGGATCGAAGTGCAGCATGATATATCTGCCAGCATTAATCTTTAATCAGCAGCAATTACTCTGAAGTTTCATGTGGGATTCTAGCACTTGAACTTATAGTCTCTCTGCAGCACTGTAACACCATAATATGGATAATGATTTTAGTGTGATGGTTGTGCTCAGAATTGTACAGCATCTGCATAGACAAGAACCTTGGACTAGAGTGAACACCACTACAGTTCAGACACGATTCACAGACTGAATGTCAAACTAGATTGTGCCTCATTGGGTGTACGTTCTTACCTGGATCCAACCTACCTATAGCAGTTAAGGAATAATATGCTCTGGGCAACCCACTCAGGCAGATTGCTAGAACCCCGCTAGCAATAACCCATGTGCTTAAATATGGTTATATAACTATTCCAATAAAAGCAACATAGACATAACACAAGCCAATCAATATTAAAGAACTTACCTCTCTTCATTCTAATAGTCTTCTCATACTCTGTAGTCCTTCCCCCTGTCTATGTTCTTCTGTTACTTCTCTAAGTTGCTGTCAGGGTCCTGCTTTCATTTAAGAAAATATTGCATATAGATTTAACTTCTGGTTTTTCTCTTCCTGTAATTACAACCTTGCTGCTCCTGTCTCTCCTGTTGTCACATCAGTCTGCTTTCCATCGAAAGGTCTATGGTGCTTAATGTCTTCTGAATAAAGTGACACAAAAATTAAGAGCAAACAGGGCTGGGACTAAAGAGATTGGTGTAGAAAGAAATAGAGGTAAAGGCTAAAAGATTTTTTAAGAAGAGTAGCAAACCAAAGTTGTAGTGGCAAATGTGGCTATTTGCTTGTGGGTTCACTCAAGACTGGAATTGGTCACAGGCTGTTATGTGGCTTTTATAAAAAATGACACTGTAACCAGCGTATTATTCTAACACTCAGAAACATTTAGTATTTGCAGCTATACAGTTTCCAGCCTTTTATTTTTCTCTAATTGCAGTGTTTATACTCTATATGCTGTACAATTGAGCCTTCAGTGGTAATCCCAGGACCAGGTCAAATCCCAAGCAAGTTGGTCTTGAAGTTGGTGAGGGCTTACGTTGTTATCCATCAACATATGAATGTCTCAAGCAAAATTCTGAGAATCCTATCCTCTTCTCATAAGATCTCCATATTGTGGTCCCTGAGCTCCATTTTGGGTTTGGATCAGGCCTCCTTTCAGACTCCTTCTAAATTAGCCACATGGACCCACTGCGAAGTCCCACCCAAGTTGGAGAACTTGATCTAGACTACCTTCCTTTCCTGTCTTAAAGACTTCCTTTCCCCCTGTGCTGCCTCCAGCTGAGCCCCTGCATTTTTTCCCCTCATTGCAGAGCTAGCACTTCTCCTTGGCTAATAACCTGTGTCTGATTCAGTTTCCAGGCAGATCGACCTGCATTAAATGTCGTCATTTTCCCTCTACTCCATGAGGATTTGACAGAGGTCATCAGAGATGTCCCCATGATGCACTTGGATGAAATTACCTTGTTTAAAAGCAGAGTGGCTGAGGAACCTCCAAACTTGTGGTGGTGATTGTGCCATAGCACACACAGAACAGCTGGGATGAACATGTGAAACAGCTTCTTATTGGCCTGGATTCCCCTTCTCAAGCTTATGGCCGCCTTACAGGATGCTGTACAATCACTTTAAATCAGTGCAATTGAAAAGCAAAAGAGCCTTGACAGACACTGCTGTGGGCAAACACAGACCTGTCGGGTAATGCTTGCACATGAGAATACAATATCCAAGCCTTTTGGAACCATATGGATATTTCCTTGTGGCTAATAATGAATTTCTTTTTTTACCTTATATCAGTTAAAGGTAAGAGAAACTAATTTAAAGAATGCTCCCATTCTTACCCATCCCTGCTTGTTGCCTAATCTATTTCTGTAGGGTTCCTGTGTACTTTGGTGGTATGCTCTGTTGTTTCCTCAGTGATCATTCTTTGAGTCTGTTATTAATGGTAAAGTAGGAGGCCTGGTTCTGTGTAGTGTTAGTGTCCCTCATTTACAAGGAGCACAAAGATTAATTGCTCGAATGAAATTCATCATACCTCTTACTATAAATGTGTGTACATGGTTACGCATGTGTGATGAGAAATATTTAAGGGTATTTTCTTTAGGGAGAAGTACCTCAGGTTTTTGTTTTCCCTCAAGTAGCAAATCGTGATTGTTAACCTTTCGAGCCCATGGTCATGTTAACCTTTCGAGCCCATGGCCATATTAGTTTTTGGGCCGTTTGGCTTGCGGAGAGGTTTCTTCCTTTGTGTCTTGAGATTCCTCTCTAGATTTCACAAACTCCATGTTACCAAATCTCCAATATGGATTCCATCTACCATAAAAATAATAAATAAATCAAAGTGGTCTAGACATGGTAGAACACTGTTCCAACCTGCAGTGTACGGGGGAGCCTGGTGGACCAGTTCTGTCCCCAAATCATGTACATGAGCATGCATTAATTTCAGAGACTATTTGGAGTATTTTCAAAGTGTAACTCCATTAGCCTTGCCTGCTCTACGGAATGTCCTTAGGAGTTTGTGGTGGAGTGGATCACTTTTCAGAGTGCCTTATTGATGGAGCACTTTCTAAAGTGTCAAATAGTTGTGCCAAAAGCCAAAGAGTGCGTATTTAGCAGAAACGTTTTAGGTGGTAGTGGGATTTCCTTTTAAGTGAATATTCCATGGAAAAATGTGGGGCTAATCTTTTTCCTTAGAGGTTATCCACTGAGTTTGAACAGTTTCTATCTACTGGTGTGCTGAACAGCTGAGCTGTTGCATACTGCTTGGGACCTCACTACTTCCATGGGTGATATCACAGAATCAGCTAATCAGTATTTCCTACGTATTAGTGTCGTAGTTTCATAAGCAGTGGCTCCTGGCAACAGTGTCGAAAACATGATTTCAAAGGGTGGATTGGATAGCAGAATACATCTTTATGCAGGCTTCAGACACTTTTCCCTAGTCCCCTTCCCACTGCTTCGAAATTTCCAGATTTGTTTGTTCTGTTCTGCGTGTTAAATCATGGTCCAGCCTGATGAAACCCATATGTGTACAAATAGGATGTAACTATGCATGTGCTTGGTGATGCTTTCTCAGCATTAACCATTTATTAAGCGTGAGACTGCATGTTACCAGCTTAATTCTTGGAAGCACATTTGTACTCCTCTTTGCTTTAGAATCACCCTTATCTTGAAGAGCATCCTGTAGCTAGTTTTTGGCTTAACTTTCTGTACGCTTTCTTTTCAGCAGCTCCTTCGCTGACTAGGAATTCCAGATCAAAGCTCTCTTTCCTTTTACCTTCCCATGGGACAAATCAGCTAGCAAGGGTGTATGAGCATACGCTTCTAGTCTTGTAGCTACCATATTAAATAAATGAGAAGATGGGTTCATGCTTTTACAAGAAGCAGCTGCTCTGTAACACTTCAGCAGAGGTAGCCAGAGCCCTCACAGATTGGCCACTAGATGTGTGCTCCAGAACTAAACTAGTTTCCAAATGACCTCTGACTTGTATGGGATTTCTTTAAATGTGAGTGATTAGGTAGATAGCTGCTATCCCTTCGCTGGAGTCCTACCCCTCTTTTCTGTCTAGTTCTCTCCAGAATCCTGTCTCTCTCTTCCAGCCTCTCTTTGTATCTGTGGCTTGTTGGAGCCCCACTCTGTCAGGATGGGCTCCTTTCTCCCTCACAAATCAGATGTGCTTTTTTTGGGGAGGGGGGGCGGAAACTAAGTCACTGTTCTGTCCAGGTGAGGCCATTTCAGATCTGTACAGTTTCTGAGTAGATCCATGCTCCACCACAGATTGTCAAGGTCAGGCAATGAAGAGAGCTTGAAACATCACTAAAGCTGCATTTCTTTTCCTCCTGAACCCTTAGCAACTTCAGTACAGAGCAGAGAGACAGCTGAGGTAACAGGTTGGGAGATGGTTCTTTCCTATTCAGTTCATAATGGGAACTATCCTCACCAATAAACAATATCCTCAAGTAGTGCATAGAGTGATGCCTGAAAGCTATCGGTGAGAACTCTTTTGTATTTGAGCAGGGGTTTCTCTTTTTAACTGAGCACTGTTCAGAGATCCTTCAGTGGATTCTAGGAAACTTTCAGCTACCATTTTCTCCCTGCTAGAAGGCTCTGATTTCGTTGGTATCTGCTGAATAGGCAGAAAAAAATCTATTCAGATTTGTTTCTGTTGTTCACAAAGGCATGATGTTCTAATGGGTCAGTTCTTTTCCTAGTCTTTTCTTTTGAAGATTCTATTGATGTGATAACACAGGCTTCACTTAAAGTCACTTCCTTTGTAAAGAGAAACCTAGAGGTTAAACAGAATACAGGTAAAATGGGAGTGGATCTTCTTTATCAAGTATGCAACCTTGATTGTATTGCCTCTGGCATGATGCTTAGACGTCTGCATTCAGGTGAGCAAGTCTGTGTTAATATGAATCATAATGTCCATAAAAAGAGCTAAGAAAGTCCAGTCACATACCTCAGGTCGTGATAAAGGCATCAAAAAGAACCTCCCCCTTCCAAACTGAGGGAGCATGCTCTGCATCCCTACTACAGATCTTCTGACTGAGAGTGAGAGTTTCCGCTGCTTTTGCACTCCAGGCAGAAGTCACCAGATGTTAATAATGTGCTTATTTTCGCTAAGTGCTATTTTGGCATCAGTGTTAATTACAATTTATATTCTGCAACATTTACACTGGGAAAAGAACCCACCCTAATAGTCCCCAATTGGCAGTGCTGGGCTATTAAACATAGCACCATATGTTCTGTGCAGAGAAGTATATGGGATTCAAAGCCTAGTCAGCATTAAGGTTCCATGTGCTGTTTCTGGAGAGGAGAAGGGAATAGAGGAGGGCTTCTTGTTCTTATTCCTAGTTTTTATTTGCTACAAAATTCCCTCCCCCCCCTTTACTCTCCATCCCCTCCCTCCAAAAATCCCTCCCTGCCAACCAGGGAAGGCTGGATGAGACTGACACTGTTCTTTTGAGCTGCCTGAGCCACCTCAAGTGTCCTTCCCACTGGGGCTGCCTCCGCAGCGCTCCTGGTGCCTGCTAGCCCGCTGCTTGCCGGTTTTTCAGTCAGAACTCTGACCTCTCCCCTGGCAGTGGGCTCCGTTGCTAGCCACATGCTGGCTGGATGAAAGCATTCTGACGCTTACAGGATTGGGTTGCTAAAGTTAAATTAAAAGGTACAGTCATAAGACCATTGATGCCAAAACATGTTTAACAAAGTGTCTTTCCAATCCTGCTCCCCAGTGGGTTCTAGATTTTTAAGGTGTTTTTATTTTTTGGTAAGGAGAAGCTCGCTAGGACAAATATCCCCCAAGTCAGAATAGGCAGCATGAAGGATATGTAATCCTATGAGGATCTCTTCCTCTGCCTTTTGGGCTCAGTTTGGGCTCCTTTTTGGCATGTTTGAAACCCTGGCATTCCTCCATGATACAGCAATAATATGCCATGTTGTCAGGCTTTGCGAGTGCTGGGAGCAATGCTAACCTGTCCACATGGGGAGTGGCGCTTCAGCAGTAGGGGAAGAGATTAGAGAATTGAGAGAGCTTCATCTGTTGGCTGGGGCATCGGACTGCAAGCTGTTGCTCAGTTTCATCTCTGCCACTTGCTCATTGTGTGACCTTGGGCAAGTTGTTCAGCCTTTCTGTGCCTCAAGTCCCCCATCTTGCTCCCTGCCTCGCATTAGGCAACAGTAAAGTTTTTGAGCAGCCTTTCTGTGCCTCAAGTCCCCCATCTTGCTCCCTGCCTCGCATTAGGCAAAAGTAAAGTTTTTGAGTGTTTGTCCATCTTGGAGGACAGATGAGCAGATTTGAGAGGAGGGAAAAAGGGGAGGAATAGCTGAGTGTCCATCTTGGAGGACAGATGAGCAGATTTGAGAGGAGGGGAAAAGGGGAGGAATAGCAGCAGGCGCGAGTTTCCTAAAGTGGCCTGACATGGAGCAGAGCCCTGATGCTGCCAGCTGCAATCCCAGTATGCATATCCTTATGGTCTCGGGTGACAGAGTTAAAAACGCAGAATAAAAAGGGCATTGGGGAGCGTCTCAACAATGGAGACTGCTGTTGAGTAGCAGCAGGCGCGAGTTTCCTAAAGTGGCCTGACATGGAGCAGAGCCCTGATGCTGCCAGCTGCAATCCCAGTATGCATATCCTTATGGTCTCGGGTGACAGAGTTAAAAACGCAGAATAAAAAGGGCATTGGGGAGCGTCTCAACAATGGAGACTGCTGCTGAGCATTTCCATTCTCTGTGAACGTCCACATGAACCATATACTACTAACACTCCTGCAAGTCGTGACTGTTTTCTTTATCTGTCCATTACTAGGACTGACTTGCTGCTGGCAACAGGATGCCCCGTGACTGTGGGCTAAAGGAATTCTCCATTCCTCTCCTTGTATTGAGGGGAAGGGATGCTACTGTAGTGCTTGCCAAGAGCTAAAGGCCCTCAACTCTTGTTTATTCCAGTGGGAATTGGGGGAGCTTAGCACCTTGTAGGACCAGTCTTCCATATTTTGCAGTGGGGTCTCCTAACTTCAGAAAGACAACCCCACTACTTAATTTAGCAAGAAACTAATACTCCAGATGGCGTGGTAACTTGTCTGATCTGCTCATGGGAGACTAAATCCTGTGCTGATCCTGCCTGACGCCATGTACAACCAAAACCTTTCCCTCCTATCTGGAGGAGAATAAGTCTGTAAAAGGAGCAACGTGAACATTATCTGGCTATTGCGGAGGGAAATCTCTCTCCAGTGCTGGGTCTGAAGGCTGCCTCTGTTCGATTAGAGGCATAGGCAGCCAGGGCACTCTAGCAGGAGAATCATTTCCATAGAAACCGATTGGGATGTTGTAGAAGGAATAATGATTAATAGCAAAGGGACGTTGCCTCAGGCCCTTTCATTTTTTAGGGGGCAGCGAGGGACAAACCAGAATGAAGCAGAGCCCAGGTATGGAGAGATGCAGTCTCTAACATTAATGAAAAACATCTCTTCCATTAATTTCCAGGGCAGCCTCTCCTCTTCTCCCTCCCTCAGCGGCAGCTTTCCAGCTTGCTTTGAATTTTCAAAATGGCTAACCTGGTTAGAAATAATGATAAAAGGATGGATGAGGCCTGGCTATTAACATGGTTGCTGTTAGCAGCAGGATCTCAGCCATAAAACATGAAGCAAGGGAGACATTGACCTTTCTGCTGTTTTGAAATGAATGGAGACATCAATATCTATTGTTTTCAGTGGCATTGACCTCTGACACTCTCACTTCTTCTCCCTCACGCTATTATTTCCCCCTGATGCTTGAGGAGAGGGGTCAGTTTGTACCATCTATTGATCCTGATTTTACTTGGTGATAGGGAAATAATTAGAACTGTAAAAGATCTACAACATACTAGTATTATATATTCCCCCCCCCGTGGAAATTCAAAGCCGTTAGATCTGAAAGAAGGTCGATCAATTTAGATTTAATTACTATTCATTATTTTAGGTTTCTAAATGCTCAAGTGTAGCGTTGTATGTTACTGTCATAGGAATGTATGCTTGGTGCCTTGTTTTATTTATTTATTTTTGTAAGTAGCCTCTCTTATGTGAACAACTTCTACGTACTGAGAATGTGAAATCAGGCATTGCTAATTAGCTGTATGACAATTAAGTAATGTAGCACAAAACCATTAGGACATCGGATTTGTTTTTGAAGT